TTTTTGTACACACCAAAAATTAATATTTAAATTTAGTAATGTTTTTAAGCGCATCTGTTACACCATTATCTCCCTCGAGAATAACAATATATTTCTCGAAAATTGTTTTATTGTATTTTTAATTGAACGGTAAGCCACAACATGAATACCAACAGGCGGGAATCATATTTTTCATACCTAAGTCTGGAATCATTTTAAATCTCAGTACGTAAAAAAAAAATAAATAGTTGTTGAGACAACCGTTGAATGGTTGCCCAACATGTATTATCTAAGGTTAATGTAGTGACACAATAAAATGTTTTTGGCTGCGAACATTAAAATGAATTAGTCGAAGGTATATGCAGTTGGAATAACTATGGAATTATAGTTTAAACAATAAGTCAATAACTACAAAGGAATAGTTAGATTCACTATTTCGAATATTAAAATTATTAATTATAAATATATATATATATATAAACATTAATTAGGTACTTTAAGTAGTAGAATTAATCGTCAGTTTTAGTTGAAATTACTATGTCATATAGTTAACAGAATAATGACTGGARAATCAAAAATAAATAAACTGGGGTAGTACCCACTATCCACCCAAAATCGAATTATAGCTAGAGATAGTGAATTTTTTTGGACGATTCGCAAAAATTGTGTTGTCAAAGTGTTAAAAAAAAATGTAATTTATGTTTATATATATATATATATATATAATTGGTATTTATAATTTTTTATCGGGATCATGGGAGGCCTATAAAAGATTGTACTGAAATTGGTTTGTTGTGTATATACGTATACCTATTGTTTGTAAATGTTTTAATGAAACACAATCATAATTAGCATTAGCTTCATCAAACGATACGACGTATGATGAGATGATTATATTATATTGCTGCTTCATGCAGGTATGGTTCAGTGTTTTTGAATTTTGAAATCATTTGCTTTTTTTTTTTAGCTTGTATCGTACTCCTCTCACAATGTTCGAAATTATCCTACAAAAAKTCATTACCGTTTTTTAATAATTGAATGTCGAATAGAAATTTCAAAATAAATGTACTGCGGTTAATCACTTTTTGTTCGTCGTCGTACTTTCAGAGTTCTTTGGATGGGGGAGGGGAGCACATTTGTGCAATTTTAATTACACAATTTTAATCGCSTCCGTGCGATGAAAACGCGTATTTCGTAGCATTTTAATTTTTAAACGCCGACCGTGTTTCTCTTTCTATTATATGTGGTTATCAATTATAAATTATAATCACACTGTATATATACGSGTATATATCCGGGTGATTCTTTTATCATTGAACACTCATTATTTTAAAAATTACTAATGTTTTTGAAAATATTTTCTTACATAGTTTCAAATTGTTCAAAAACCAACGTTTTTATTAAAAAAATTTATTTTAAAATATTTTTTATCCTTATCTTTTTTTCATTTTTTACTTTTTGAATGACAGCAGACATTTAATTTCATATTCCAAAGCAAAATAGTTTTCTAAGTATTTTGATTCATAAAAATCGAATTTAGTCGAAAGTTTAGACAAGCGGAGTAGTGRACAAACATTTKGGGGGTAACCCCATACCACTCCACTCTGCCAATCTAAACTTTAAATGCTTATAACTCATACACTACTCGTCCTAAATTCGATACTTATGAATCAAAATACTTAGAAAAATATTCTGCTTTGGAATATGAAATTAAAACTCTATGTGTCATTCAAAAAAGTAAAAATTAAAAAAATTATAAGGATAAAAAATATAATTTTTAATAAAAACGTTGGGTTTTTAACAACTTGGTGAAACTATGTAAAATAATATTTTCAAAAACATAAATAATTTTTGAAATAATTAGTGTTCAATGATAAAAGAATCACCCGGTATAGTATAGACACATCTGGAAGATATTTACCGAGAGCTTATACTTATGGTTTTCTATGTATATTATTACAATATTAAATGGAGGATGTACACCACGGAATTAAAATCCTGCAGATAATTAAAAACGTCGAATGTTTCGTGGAAAATGTACATATACCAACGGATGTCGGAGAGGAAGGGTTTGATCGATTAAACTGTGATTTTGTGACACCAGACCTGCAGGGGTGGCAAATAATTTGAACGCTACGTGCCAAAAGTTGCATTTCTCTCTCTTTTTTTCGAGTGTGCCATGAAAAACATTATATATATATATATATATATATATATATATAAGTACTATGTGTAATAAAAATATTTTGATTTTTTGCGTGCTCTAAAAATCGCGTGCCATTGATTTGCCAGCTCTGCTTTACACGTACGACACGTCGACACAATAAATCGTTAGTGATTAACTATCAATGATATGTTTTCACCAAAGTTYTACGCGTATGGTTCATTTGCGTTGTAATAGATTTACAAACCGGTTCACGCGTATATAATAACGGTCTTTATCTAGAATATAAACTATATGCATATAACATTATTCTGAAGGCGTCAACCGTAATGTTTTTTTTTATTTTTTAGAGCGTGTTTATAAGATATTGGTCATTTATTCATTATATAGCTTCGCTAAGTCACAAAACTCAAAACGTATCGTATCTCGTAAGCCTTATAAATTATTACACTTTTCCCGGACGTCCAGTGCAGTTGCATCGCACTGGTGCGTTCTATTTGCCTATGCGTTGCGCCTCGTCCACAGAAATTCAATAAAAATATTATAATATTGTTTACATTATTGGATTGGGAAACACTTTGTGAACATCGACGTTCGTTTCTATCGTATCCGTGATAAATATAAAATTTTGAATTTGAATATAGCAGACAAAAGTATTATTCGAATTTTTTTATACAATAGGTAGACGACAATAAGTACTTTTTTTTTCGTCCAACATCATAAAACATGTATAACTATTGAATTCGTTTGGATGATGTAAGTTACAAGTATATATATTGTAAAGTAACTAAAATAAATAAAATATATAAAAGAAAATGTTCCCGGCGAATGCATCGTACCGTTGCGAATAGCACGAAAGTCATACACGAATTTATATTCTGGATAAAATTGTCTGGAAAACTCGGGAAAAGGTCATTTTTTTTTATATTTTATGCGTCATTCCTGATATAATATACTGTAAATATCCCTRGCCAATTTAGGAAAATCTTTAGTCTTATAACGTTCACACGGTTCTCGCACATAATAGTTTGTGACACAGTGTTTTAACACGCATGATCCAATACAGTTTCTGCTATACTCATAGGTTTTCATCCCAAAACCCGTGTACTATTTCTGCAGGTACATCAAGTGTACACAATAACTTGTATTTTTCCATTGTACAATTCGACTGAGTATTATGCATATACAATAATTTAATTATCATTATTTATCTACGTGAGTATTGAAGTTTTTATTAACTGTATTTTTGACAACTATGACTGTTAATTGATTTGTAACCATCATTGTTTTAAATTTAAGTGTTGACTATGGGTAGGTATATTATAATTAATAGGTGCACCATTATACCGTAAATTTACTTGATTTGAACTGATTTTCTAAACAATCATTAATAACGTATACTGCATAGATATAGGTACAAAGATATTACAGCTTTTTGTAAAGTCGATGGTTTAAAATAAATGTAAATAATTGTATGGTTATATTCGTGTGTTTGTAAAATACATGATTGTTGAGTAAGAATGAATTTCTATTTTTATTTTGTTGCTTTTATTATTATAATATTTTTAATTYAAAAACTATACTTGTTAAAAAATATAATTAGTTTTTATTTAGTATACTTTGCTACATTCGAATTGTTTAAAACAAATGTATTATTTTAAAAATACCGATTTTTAATTTGCTTTTTATTATTTTCAATAATAATGTAATAAACTTTACTTGGACGTTTCTACTTAACAAAAAAATATACTGCAAATTGAAATAATTAAAAATAAATCTGTGTCTTGAAATTGTTTCTCTTATTTAATTAAAAATCATCATAATAGTCTTACTACCTATATGAATGTCTAAACTATTATTATTTCCTTTTTATTCTTAGTTGCATTATTTTACAGAATTTACAATTTTATAACTCACTTAGTTAAAGTTTAATTGCTTTAGATGCAAAGCAGATAATAAGCACTTAAGCAGATAAGGTGATTCATCAACCATGCTTCCCTTTTGTTTTAAATAACGCATTTATTCAAAATTAGTTAATTCTTGTGATTTTTTGTACATATGGAGTATCCTGTGGAGATACAGAATTTTAATTTTAAAATGACAATACTTTTTTTTTACTGTAAATAATTTAGCGAATGATTTTATTTTTTTCGAATTATTGTATACTTACTGAAGATATTAAGATAATAGTGGTAATGATATTGGAAGATATTGGGGTGGGGCATAGGGCAGTATTACAAATTAGATAATATCTATATATTATATTTTTGTAATTTTTTTTTACTGGCCGTATTATAGTATATTATATTATTATCCTGAGTATAACAATTTTAATGATTGAGGWACTTTTCGTTAAAATTTTGAATTAGTTACATTAAAATGTTCAAAAAAATACYWACTTAACACTTTACAGTATAGAAGTAGAGTTCTTATAGTGTTCTTACATGAAAAATAGATGTTTATAGGTATATTATCTCTACCGCCACTTTTTAATTAGTACTAACAAATTTGAGAATTCTTTAAGTACATTGAAAATTCCAAAAATCATAATTTTACAAATAAATCATTATTCAATGAAAAAATCTGGATAAGTATATGCTTGGTGAATCATYATATTTTTTATATGTATACAAAAAAAGATATTAGATAGATTAGTATATTTTTTATATTAAGGTTTWTTGTAAAATCGATTTTATGTGCCTTTGCATGTGTGTTTTCTTTTATTTTCTGTTTAAATATTACTCCGCCATTTGTAAAAATTTGGAATGTTATATATCCTTTCTCTAAATGTTTATATACTCATATTTTTCTCGGAAAAATCTCATTTAAATTATTTTGCTTTTTTTTTCTGTTTCAGGTAAGCAATACAATGGATATGTTGACATGCCAGTATATAAAACTCCCTGCTGAAGAATCGTCTTTGCCAAATTTTTTCAAATTCGCACCGTACGTCACAGGATCCCTGAAGGTAAATAATTGCTCGTTCCCGCAGCGTCTTGCATGTACACGCTATTATTGTTACGATTATATTATAATATTATATAATATCATGATCGCCGTGGAGAAGCCAAGTTTCTGGTGGTTGGGTTCCACCGCGAAGCCTTTACGGCTAAAAGCCGCACGGGTTATTAAACTTTTGCTGCGTGCAAATCACATATAAGAATCCGTTGGCAATTACCACGGTTACCCCCTAAGTGCTTCCTGGACATAAAATCCGTAATTGAACACGTTCGCGATCGTGTAACCGTTAGTTTGGCCGTGCAATAACATGATGCAGCCAATGGGTAGGTATCTGCAGCAGTGTCCCTTCCGCTGACTCTATATCATCTTGTTTAGTTTTATATATTTATATATATATATATATATATACGCGTGTGGTAGCCTATTTCGAGCAGATCTCGATAAATTTAATGGCAAATGGTTTAATACGTATATACACGCGCCTTCGTAACTAGTTCACCTGCAGCGGCTAAAAACTACGTTCCATTATTGATTATTATTATGTAATTATAGGTAACCGCCATTTATAAGCTTGTTGCACGATGGATTGCGTATAATAATTAGACGTAATGTGAAATATAAATGCTGCTAATTTGAGAAGTCATTTAATACGATTTGTATCGTTTCGAGTTTATACCATTTCGGTACATATAACATAATATACGTATGTGAGGCCGTTTGATTATTTAGTTAAAAAAGTGTAGTTGAGATTACATCTGCAGAATAGTTAGGTATATATTATATTATATTATATCGCACAATCTCTATTATTTTTGTCACGTACAAAATGAATGGCCCGTGGTGTACATAAATAATGTGCATATAATGTAACATGCTATTTAGGTTTTGATTTTTCAGCRTCACAGGTAGGTGCAGATATGTTTATTTTTTCGTTTTAGTCAGATAAAAAAATGTTCAGGATAATCAAATATTAGCGGAGAAGATGTTATATAAGGTTATTCTCATAGAAAATTACAATCAACCGTAGATGATTGTTTGAATAGTCGTTGATGTTTATTTTCTACTGTTTATATTAAACGACTTAATGTAATCGATATTTATTACGGTTTTGATAAAAAAAAAAAACTGACAGGTTTGACATTTTGTTATCAACATATATTTGTTTGGTAATTTATTGTGAACCGTCGTTGATTATACTATACAATATGGTTATGACAACGATGATTAAAACTCATATATTTCAATAACGTATTGTAATCATAATATAATCTGTATATTAACTTGAATAAAATTCTCGTGTTAAAATAACAAATAACAGGGCTTTCATAATAATCTCCCTTAAAGAATTGTTTCAGCCATTTTTATAACGTGATAAAAGTGAATCGTTCTAATTGAATTTTTGGTCTTTAGAAAGTCGCAGTATTGTTTGTCCATTACGATAAACCTTTTATTCTTTGGGTTTTCATCAAAGTTCTCTTTTTTTGTTTTGTTAGATTCTCTGTCAGTGTAATCTGGATTTTCATTAATTAGCTAATAGAAACCAGGGTCGGTTTGGGTATACTATGGTTTTTCTATTTCGGTCCATATAGTAGTGCTCTAAATATCTACGTAAATATACCTCGTGTCGTGTAAATGTATATAATAATTCCCTATTCCCGGCGTCGTTTAGTTTGTCAACCATATCGACATCAAACGTTGATTTGTCTTTAGAAACAAATATCTCGAGGCCGTCAAATTTTGGCGTGTGCCATCCGTTTYACTGTCTTTCCATACCTAATATTGTAGTTTCTTGTTATATGCTATATATATATTTATTCTGTGATCTGCAGAGCACTTCGATTATGGTTTTCTATTTTATACCTAGATAAACACCGTAAAAATTTAAAGGTATATACTTGCGCGTCCCAGAATTTAATAAACTTTTCATTGTAAATACGACGGCGTCTTCGTATAGTTTATACAGTTTTTGCTTTGTAAATAACTGATATTGCCACTATATATCACTGTTACTGTTACCTATAAAACTATTTTAACTGCTTCTACTTGTTATACTACTACTGATAATAATTATAATGCAATATGGAGTGGTTATAATCAAGTTGTATTTGTATTCGAGAAGTATATATTTGTCGTCACGCAATATCTATGAAATCTAAAACTGTATTTTGAACGTAATCCTTTTACTATCAAGAGGAGAACTAAAACCCCATTGGGAGATTACATAGGAGTTTCGACCTGTATTAATTTCATATTACTTAAGTTTATCTTAGTTGAATTGTTATCGTGATTTTGAATTTGTAAGGATATGATTGAGCTTAAAGTTTTGCATTTAGTTTGTTCAAATTACGATAATGTGTATCTAAAATATGGTATGCACCTTCTAAAATTATTTGCAAGTAATAATAATTACCTATTAAAAGTTAAAACCTTGATCAAAAATCAATATTCAATTCGTGAATTGTTTTTATCTGTTGTATCCATCAGTATTCGTTTTGTAAAAATAAACTAAAATAATTTAACGTTTTTGTTTTTACTATTATAACCATTGTGTTATTGCAGTATTTAAAAAAAAAAAAATAGTATTTATATTGCTTTGTTTATCTTGTGATCCACAATAATAAAAAAAAATATATAATTAAGAGCCCCAACAGTTTTAAATATTAGGTAAGTATATTATATTATGTTTAAAAATGGTTTCTTTGAACAGACTCAGCTCGCTATTCGAGTATCGTATACTTTCAAATGTTTAATACTCTTTGAATACATTTCGAAATCAACTTTGGTTTCTTTTAATTCCTCGTAATTTTAATTTTATTTGATACAGCTGAAATTACATTTTATAAACTTTATTTAATTTTTAAAATATACTTTGAAGTTGAAATTATTGAAATCAGACATGCCTTTAATTGTAAAAATATTTTATATTATTTATGCGAATATTATTATCGTGTGGTAGTATACATTTTTTTAATTACAACAAAATTACCAAAGCCGTTATTTTCCGTTAAAATTGTCAAATTTTATCAAAATTAGTAGGCCATGGGTAATACTAATAAATATGTGTACTCAAAAATATCGATATTTTTAGAATATTGTAAGAAAACTTAWGAAGAAAATTTCAAAACTTTTTTCTATGAGAAATAATTTTATAAATGTATACAAAAAAAAAAATTAAATATCAACATTCACATTCTATGTTAAACCAATACAATCATCGCACATTCGCTCTACTCAGAATCCATAGTATTATATTATATATGTTATTGCTTGTTTAAGTTATAAAGTATTTAAATAACGCTGAATTTGTACTCGATTACAAGTATACCAAGTTATCTAGGTCAATGTTTTTACCKATCAAAGAGTTATAATGATTCAATTGTAAATTTATAAATAGTAATATTAAATAATTATCATTTAATGTAATTTAATTTTGCATTTAACGTGTTTTCCTTTTAGTAGTGTTTTCTTAAGAGCTCACTATAGTTTATTATTATGAGTAAAATCATAAGTTCTAATATAATCCTGATTACGCGATGAATATATGATTGATGGATAATAAAACATGTAATTAAATCAGGAATCAAATGATTGAAACCTTTAAAATTAGTTTTCAAACGTTGCTCTACCAGCTCAACCTTGATTTTAATGATTCTTTTGAGCTTCAGTGCAACTCAATTTTCTTTTAAAAATGGTGGTAGTATTAAGCGACGGATGCTGCTTGTAGTCGTGCATTTTTAACAATCATGACTCGACAACGACTCAATAACTCTGTGTTTCGTCGTTAAAAATAAATTAGGTTCCAAATTCCATTATGAAATGTCGGGAAATGCGTTTAAATTTTAATAGCTTCAACCCTACGAGTTACGTAGCGCCCGTAACGTGCGCATTGTATTTAAGTTTAAGTATATTAAATAATTTTCGTTTCTAGTTAGTAGGATACTATTTTCATCCTTTTTTTAAATTCATTCTCCTATATAATTGTTCAGTGAAATTAAAATTAAATATTATTTATATTTTATATAATTATTCCTATGTATTTTTTGCCCAGTTTAATTTGAACATATATAGTACCCGTTTCAAATGTATATTATATTACATGATACTCTTGATGATTTAMTTTATCCAAAAAAAAACCAAGAAAATGTATACTGTTTTAATTAAAATTTCTCTGAAATTGAAACGGTCATCTGCAGAGTAGGTATACTTGCGATTTGTTGTTGAATATAAAATTTCAATCATATTTATGRAGTAAAACTTGATTGGTTTTTTCTTTTACACCTGTTAATGTTTTTTCCTTGTAAAATGATATCTTCAATCGGAATTTTTCATTAATCATTTTTATTATTAGTAAAATTTAYTTTTTATAGAATGTAATTTAATTTAAACCCTATTGCTTAGTTGTAGAATGGGAGKGGGAAGAAGGTAGCTTTATACCCTCAGGAATTTCGTTTAGCGCTCTCCAATTTTTTTTATTTAAGTTATAAAATATCTCTRTGAWGAAAATGTATTCGATAAAACAAAAATATGAAAATTGTGTGTTTAATATGRKTAGATTAAATTATTCACTCGAGTATGATGTGTATAATATTTATATATATTTGCACATGGTGCATCATGGAACGAAAGACGGTTGAATTATCACATGATGTATACCAATTATGTTAATGAGATGGTCGGCCGCCGGCGGAAAAGATTTAATATACTTGTGATTCTGGTGGCGTATCAATTCTACGCAATATAATATAATATATAACATATTGATCATGGCCACATAATGTACCTATGATACAGTATGTTTTTGGGTTTGATGGTTATAGTGGCATCCCTAAATCAAGTTTTTAAGTTTTTAATCGAATTCTACATATAAATCAATATAATATTAACGGTTATAATATATATAAAGAATATGAAAAAAAAAAAAAAAAACTTCGTGGAGATTATAATGAATGTTTCGTATCCTTATAACCAGGTATCTGTAAATATTATATTACATAATATGACAGATAT